TTTTGATGCACATATGAAGGAATATGTAGTAAAATGAGAGACACTTATAAATAAATTAAACTAATGAGCAATCTGAATTTCATTCACATGTATTTCATTAAATTCATAATAATTTAATTCACTAAATAAAGTATCACTTAGCTGCTCTTCGGACTGCTGATTTTTGAGTTGTAAGAATCTAATGAATGGAAACATTTAACTGATAATATACAATTTAATTAATAATATAGACTTTAATTAGTGAATAAAAATAGCAAAAATTTAATTTGAATTTAACTCATTAATTAAATTATTATCCAACATCCAAAATGTACTCTGAGCGATCTTTAACAACTCAATCACCCGAAACTCTAGATAATTTCTGTTTAACAATAAAATTAGCGTAATTTGATTTTAACTTCAGCCCGCGAGATGGCCTAGCTGTATGAAATTTTAGTTATTCTTATGTGTAAACGCCTGTAGATTACTTAACATCTACTAGGCAAAGTAATGCCTTAAGTTAAGACTTAGAAACAAGAGTATCTTACAATGCTAGGTTTACCTAAAAAAATCCTCCACAGCCATCCTTCTTCTTACGTAGATAATATTTGCAGATTTCACCAAAGTAAATATAAGTGTATTTTCTTTTCAATCTTTCTTGTAGGGATTTATATTTATTTTAACTAACAAGTTAAAGTTTAATTTTAAACATTCCTGTAAGCCTTTATTCCCCTCATTGTCAGTGCCAGAATATTTAAATTTTGTAGCGCGCGTGAAGGAATGCAAATTTCTACTTTGAGGAAAGTATTTAAAAGCCGAGTTTCAGTGGGAAAGAGAAGAGAGGTTACAGCCGCTACCTCTGCTGTAGATACGTTTGCTTGTTGCTGGTTGACGTGGCTTAATTGCATTTACTTGCTGCCACTAGTTTCGAAGGAGGTTTAAGTAACAGGATCTCGCTGAGCCCTGTAGTTTAATTCTATCACTTGTTAATATCTTCAAATTTTTAGTTTCATTATCTTCCGCCCAAGCAGAGGCGAAGTTTGTTAGCGTCGAGTTGACGCATTGCAAATTTTAAAGAGTTAATAAAGGGTACTATAACCCTTCGCTACTTTACATTCTTATATTTATTAATTCTTATATTATACTTTACATTCTTATGACTGGAGTTTTTTCTGGCTAAGTGTGTTAGATCACATAAACAAATACATTTTCGTTTGTTTTATCCTCTTACGCTCGTCTTACTTTGAAAGTATGCACATGAAGAATAATTAATGTTAATAGCATTATACTAAACATTAAAAATTTTGGGTTGTGAAAATTGAAAATTGAGAGAATCTAATGTTGGATTCAACTTCTCACAACAGGACGTACTTCTTATTTTTATCACATTTTTTATTGCAGTTATTATAGGTATGGAAAAAAGAAAAGATAATTAGAGGTACAGATTTAAAATTTTTATTACCTTAAATATAACCTCATAAGGTATTTTCCCCGCCTTCCTAGCCTGCCTTCGTGGTGTAGTGGTTCTGCACGCTGGGCCGGTATTCCAGAGGTCCGTGGTTCGATTCCCGGCGAAGGCAATGCATATTTTTCATCCTGTCTGCTTTTTAAAAGTACCTAATGGCTCTACAGTGGTGCCCGAACTGAAAGGTTGCTGGATGATAATTCTCCTCACCCAGGATTTGGCGATTGGGTTCCCTAAAAAAACATCTAGTCTCCCTTTAAAAGGGGAAGTATATAAAGCATTTCTCCCGCCTTCCTAGTGTGCCTTTGTGGTGTAGTGGTTCTGCATACTGGGCCAGTAATCTAGAGGTCCGTGGTTCGATTCCCGGCGAAGGAGTTGCATATTTTTCATCTTTTCTGCTTCCTAAAAATACCTAATGTCTCTACAACCTATTTAAAAATGAGTATAAGATATTTACAATATGTAATTAGTACTTAATTTTATAAGAAATGCGATTAAATGACTTCTTTACGCTGCAGCTAGATTTCATCTTTAGGTATCCTTTATGTGCAGGTGTGTAAATTGCCACTTTCAATCATAATGTAAAATTTTCTACAAATTATTAAGCCAAAACTGTAATATGAAGTCAGGCACATGAACAAAGAACATTTTAACCAATTAGCGTAATAATAATTAGCGAACTTATATATTATTCATCAGTTTCTACTCGGTATAGAATTTGATAATTACTATTATCACATAGTTACTGTTATTTGATAGCTACTATAATCAAACACTACAAAAGTGATGACTGGAGCTTCATTACTCTGTGAATCACTATAATTCTGTAGACATATTTGTACTGATTTATTTGCTTAATAAACAAATCGAAGGCAAAATTCCTTTTAAATAAAAGGTATCCGGAAAATTTTAGCAACACCTCAATAACGCTATTTTATCAGGTATTACGATGAAACTTTTAAAAATGAAACAATTTTTTAATTTTTATACTCATCGTCCAAACTATTTTTTAATTTTCCGAATAACTTCTCTTGCCACGCATTTATTTCTACAGTTTTTTTAAGACTTTCCGATGAGACTTCTGCAATAAGAAGTTTCAAATTTTCTAGAAAATGTTCATTCATCGTTTCTTTTTCCTGAATTTAACTTATCGTTTGTACTACTCCTGCCTGATGGTTCCCACGAATCTTCCTTTTCAGAAGATATATTACAATATTTATTGCGCTTTTTATTATTTTTCTTGGATTCCGCTTTTAACGAGTTTCCTGCAGCCCTTTTTATTGTGGCTCGATTCTCTCTTGTTTTTTCCTTTGAAGTCGGTACTTCACGCTTTCTTTCTTTCCCGTTTCTTCCTTAAATTTTAGTGTATCTTCATTAGAGTAACATTCCTGATGTGACTACAGCAGGAATATACTTCTTATCTTCCGTCAACCTATTACATATAAGTAAGGAAGACAAATGATTTAGGTCCAAAAATTCGATGGTGAGTTTTCAGTGAATAAACAGTAATTAGGGTCCCCACATCACGTTTTTACTATTTTTAGAACGATGTGTCTTTCTGTGTGTATGTGCATAACGATTTTTTTACCCATTATTAAAAACCCAATGAAAATTTCCAAAAAAATTATGTTTTTCGTATATATGCTTTCTGTGTTCTTTTAAAGAGTTGATTAGATTTTGGGTAAAACTAGACAACCGGAATTAGTACTTTAAGTCACGCCCAAAAGAGATTTTAATGTACAACCGAGCAGTGTTACTTTACTAGACGCCCATAATTTTATAATAATTTGGTGAATAAAATGTATTAAAATATAATCTAAACTTCTCAATTTCAGTAGTTAAGACCCTTATATGAACAGGAACGACATATTAGATTTTGATACTTTGTTTGAAGCTCTGAACCAGTTTTCATGAAAAAAATTCTATTATACTATAAACCAAAACTTCTCAGATTTTGTATTTAAAGCTCGAATATGCACATACGTTGAATATAAAATCATGACTAAGAATAATATATTTGCCTTTGACTACATATGATAAAACAGAAGTGGTACTTTACTTTGAACTCTTAACAGATTTTCGTGGAAATACATAGAATGACTACAATAAGAATTTAATCTTAAATAATGCACCACATATTAAAGCTGTTTTGTTGTATCTAGGCATGATATTTATTTGTATCAAGCTGTGGAAGAGAATGACTTTTACAGTAGTGTGTCATTTTCAGAAATTCAAGGCACGCATGTTACCAAAAAATGCATTTCTTATTCTCTTGCAATGATGACGAGGCATAAGAGCAAACAGAAAATTAGAAAATACCTCTTGTTTTAATTCTTACTGATCCCGAAACGCACGGTAGTCACTATTTAGCTATAATTTCAAAAATTAACAAGCACTGTTCACTGATACGTACGGGGAGTAAAACAATTCAGATTTGTGATACTATAGAAATAACATAGAAGAAAAGTAAATAATGGTATTGGTTTCAAAGTAATTATTTCAAATATATTATAAATACTTAATTTGCTTTAAATAAAAACCAATTAAATTACATTCATTTAACTGCCTATTTGGAAAATAAAATAAATTTTTGAATGAAAAGAAATAAAGGAGCAAACATTTGATTGTGTTAATATAAATTCACAAAAATAAGTTTTTACACATGGCCCATTACACCTAATGAGATATAATCCAACATTTCGTATTACCATCCTTTATATTTATTGGAACAATCGATTAGATTTTATTTATACACAATTAACCGGAAATGATACTTTATTTTAAGCTCGTTGCTATTTAAAACACGGAATTAGCGAAAGGTATTATGCTAGCTATATCAGATATTTTACGCAGCCGTCAATTCATTTTATTTGGTTTCGGATAAAACAAAGCTGGGTATTTTCAAACTGTTTCGGATAATTTTGAATGATTGTCTAACTAGTACCATTTGTATGAAGACTGTCCCCGGACACTTTTTTTTTTTGTTTGTGTCTGTGTGTATTTTTATCATCATCTTGTCAAATTCTAGTCAAATTCTTCTGTTGAAACTTTTTCTAGAAAGCCAGAGTTCCATCAGTTTTTATTATAACTTTCATGTGATGCCTCTCTATATATGACGTAATTTATATAATAACTTTATACGAAGTAATGATAATCTACAAACGAATAATAAAGAGTGCAGTATCGTCTGTTAATAAATTTTGTTTAGAACTGGAAATAAGTCATTTGTAATACATTAAATATAGCTGTCCATACAGGAAAGTGGTTAGCATGGAAGCTGTCTGCCGTATCGAAAGGCCTAGGTTCGAATCCCGGAGAAGGCATAGATGTTTGTAAATGTAATGTCGGTGCGGCATGGGGGGGGGCACTGGAAATATGCGGCGAGCCAAAAGACCTCTAAGTTGGTGGCAGGGTAAGAGGTGTGGAAGATCCTCGGACCCGTCCCTCCGGGATGAAAAACGCAATAAAATTTAACCGTTATAATTTCAAAGAAAATACCACAACTATTTGTTACCTCTTCAATGAATGAAACTGTAAAATATTGTAGAAAACTTACCCTAACGAATATGAGAACCTTGGTATCTCCAATTCTGTATTTTCCATCCGCTACACGTATCATAGGAAACTGAGACGGGCATGTGCATCGACTCAGTAGTTCCACCACCTGCGAAAGAAATTACACTCATTCAAGTAAATGCGTAAAAGACTAAAAATATCATTTAAATTAACAATTCACATTTTTAATTCTAAAGCTTTCTTTTATCTTTAAATTCAGCCACCAATTCGTCATTTAAGTAATAGATGGCAAATGTTTAAAGAATGCTGCAAAGAGAAGAATACTTAATTTAATTTCTAGCTGACAGCGTACAATTAGCTTTAATGAGATATGCCAGTTCATTGTTTGTAACTTTTAAGGGAGCATTCCAGACAAAGAATATCGCAAAGTGGTCTAGTATTGATTTGCGAAAAACTGTAAAGTAAGGCATGATGCGAGAAACATTGGTTTGGCTAAGTTAGAAGATGAGGTCACTGATTAGCTAAGTAACTTCAAGCTTGTGTATGTCTCCTATTTTAGACTAAATTTTCATTTTGTAAGCCCTGCAACGTTAAGTAACTCTGTCTCTCTGGATATTATGGCTTACAAAGGCTGGACTGCACACCCACTAATCGCTTATTTGACAAAATATGAATGTATTACGACAATGTATGGATGTTTGGAACTCAGTATCTTCACAAAATGGAAGCACTTAAAATACATCTATCTGAAAGTCCTCTCGAGAGACTAAAACTAAGGCAAAAAGAGTACAAGACTCTTCTATTTCATCATCTGGTCTTTCGAGTCAAACTGGGTTTACAGCTTGGGCAGATAGTTCTCATGTATTTGTCTAAATTAAATATTCCTAAATCTTAAATAACCCAATAAAAGGTTCTTTTGATGAATTTCTATTTATTGATTAGAAATTCCTTCTTATTTGCAAAATTTAATCGTAGCAATTTTGTGTTAGAATATGTAAAGCTTTCACTTTTGATAGCTGAAAAAGAAAATAACAAATGGATTTTTATATTTTTATTTAATGAATGAACACGGAACTGACTCTCTTTATAAATTTATAATTCCTCACCGTTTTGAGAACATCGTGCTCTAAATTTTCCCGTTGCGTATAATAAAGATTACAAAGTGAGACATTTTTCTTCAATTAGATCCTGATTCTTAAAATGCATGCTGGAAATTGATTTTTTTTTCATTGTCAGAAAAGTCTTAATTAAATTTATTTACCAACTTTTATTGCTAAAACGATATTTCCTTTTTAGGTTAATAACAGATTTTACTCAAATTTAAAAAACAAATTCATCAAAACATTTACATCAAAAACCAAGACCAGAGATGTGAGGCCGTCAGGCGATCAGCGTAGCAATTTTCGAATTCTTTCCCCAATAGCCAGATGATTTTTTTTAAATATCAGATAAAACTTATTCACTTAAATTAGGCATGATTAACTGAATTGAAAATAAATGATGTCAGAGTCAGAAATATGCATTTTACTAATGGATGTCATAAATGAATATTTACCTTTAATGTTTCGACAAAGGAACTCTACATGCAAAGCTTTTTAAAGTTTCATGTAAATTTCTGTTCCTAACTTACAATTTAAAACTTCGAATAAATACAGTAAACTGGATCATGAATTTCTTAAAACGAAAAGCATTAGCGAATAAACTAGACAGTGAAATCTCCTAATTTTAGTTCCATAAAAAACTGCTTAAATTAAATCACTTCTGTAGCATCCACCAGCGGTCAAGCAGTAAAATCGCTGAACAATGGTAGTTCGACACGAATTTAAGTCTCGGAGAATGGTCGGCTGCGTGGGTGGTTTCTTACCTTTTACCATATAATAATTACTAAATACAAGGTGTTTCAAATATGACAGGAATCTTTTTTACCAAAGCCTTTATTGTGAATAAAAGAATTGAATATGTCATCTTTCAATGTACTCCCTTCCATAGCTGATACAGTTTTGTCAGCGTTCTGGAAACATTTTCATGCTCTTTTCATAGAAGAGTTACGAATCCAGTCCTGAACACTTAAGCTGACAACATCTTTATCCACAAATTGCATTCCTTTTAAGTGGGATTTAAGCCTGGGACTCAGCACTGAAGTAGTGGACCCACGCTTCTTTGCGGTCACTATGGTTTTCAAAATGCATCTCCTCCAATTTCAACACCCCCACAGAAGAGACCTGCACTTTGTTCTCGTCTATCAACATGTGTGGAATCCACTGGGTATACACCTTGCCATAGTGCAAATAAATGTTTTTTCACAATGGTTTGTACCCTACCAATACTGATTCAACGCATCGAAGTAAGTTCTTTGATAGTGATGCGTCTATCTCACGAATAACCACATTTATAGGATCAGTGTTTGTCGTGGTGATGGATGTTCTCGTTCCTCTGTGAAGCATTTATACACACACTACTCAAGCCATGGGTCCTATAAAGACACTCTTCCCCCTAGTGAGATTTTCTCCTTTTCTCGAACGGGAAGTTTACTTACAATGCATTGTTTCGCACTCCGAGGCAGCTACTGTTCGATCATCACTCTCGCGAATGCTTAATTTGACTAAGCATGCTATTATCTGCACAGGAGGTAAGGCGGGGATAGTGGCTGTACTCACTAAACGATACACAACGCTGTGCATGAATAGTGATTTGTAACCCCAATAGTCGCGTTTATATATGAATGCCCTTGCACAAACCAGTTCCCCTTAAAAATACTCCATGAACGCAACACACTGCTTAGTCAGAGAGCTCTCGTATGCTTTGCTATAATGAAATAACTGACCAACCATTTCAGTAAAACTTTGAATGGCCTACTTTACAAGCTTTTGCGTTACAAAAAAAAAAATCGTGCAAAGGAAAATGAAAAACTTCGAAATAAGGGGAAAACTTAAACCATAATATACAAAAATTAAATTCATAGATATCCTAAGTTTCTCATAAGAATTAACTTTTCTTCGAATACAGTAATAATTTAATCCCGCAATTCCTACAGACAGAACGTCTGGAAAAGGCGGTTACAGGCTTTATTTCTTTAAGCATTCAAGTATATAATATAATATAGACATTTATTTATCTATATAATTGTATACTTCCAGTTATAAAATTTCTTAAAACTAAGAACAGAGTTTTACGCAGACAGTTTCAAAGCTACAGGTGGAAGGATATACTGAAAAAATAAAATCTAATTATTATATAGTCTCAGTAAAGTAAAATTTCTAGTTAATGAAATATGCATCATGTTTTAATTAGTTAAAATGTTCCATTCCATTTATATGCAAAATTCGGAGAGAGATTCCATTTTAAATTACTGACCAGTTTGTTTACCGTTTTAAATTCAGAACTTCTCAGAACTAATTTTGATTAGCAGTTATATAAATACTTGTCTTTATGAGTAAAGATTCCATTTCAGTAAAACAATATCCAGTAGTAAATTGGTAAATGGGTGCTTTCTTCTAAATGGAAATATTTATTAAACTCAATTAATATTCACTGGGCATAAATTAATTATTTTTTTAAAAAAGAATAAATATACGAATTCAAAATTTCACACTAGAAATTACATAAAATGTTAAGTTATTGTTATTATTCTTCCCATTTTCCTCCAGATTCCTTCCCATCCATGCTGCTGAAACTATTTTCAATAATTCTGACTCATATTTTAAGAAATACTTCAATTAGAAATGTGTATCTAAGATCAATAATTAAGAAAAGGAACCAATGCCATCACTTCTCGAATATTTTGTATATTTACCATGGGTACATGCATTTTCAGTTTTACTTGCGATTTTAAACATATTTTATGGCTTTTAATCGATTACAATCTTGTTTTTCTGAACGTTATTTAAGTTTGTCCTATTCTAGTGCTTTTTTTACTATTCCTAGTCATGTTTAAACTTCTAATATTCCAGTAGATATACCAAACAACCCTGTCTCTTCAGTAATATTTGACATAATTATACAGTTGCTTTGTGTTGAGAAATTTGCATCCTCACTTGCGACCGCGCAGTGCTGAAGAGGCGTAAAGTTCCGTAGTGTATGCCGTACGTGATTATCGACGGGACGAGTAGCTGTGATTCTCTCCAGCGTGGTTCGGCAATGTGATGCATGGAATCCTAAATAGCTGTCTAAGACTGAAACGGGCATAAGAATATAGCAGAGTGTCCCCGACAGCATTTATATGAAGTATCGTATAGAATTGTTGCAGCCAAGTACCTGCTGACATATTAGTCAAGTTAATCACCTGTTATCCATCTTCATCATATATGTATTCCTCACATGTCGTCGGTTAACATATCTTGCTCATCGGTTTCGTTAAGCTCAAGAAAAGCACACATTAAAGTTTAACTTTCAGCAAGTATGCTCCTTTGGTAGGCCATCAAGTTTTACACTATTCTCCTCTCAATGCTATCCCAAATTTAAATTCAACACTTCGGAATAATTATCTTAATTATACAAATCGCATTCTAAAATAAATATCTGACTCTTTTAAAATATCTACTATCAAATTCACGCAGTATTTAACTTATTATTTCAAAACGTTACTTCTAAGTGTGTGACAATAAAAGTAGAAGATATGTGGCTAAAAATGCAACAAGGAAAAGCAAATTTGAATCGATTTTGTTATGCCTGATGATGATGAACCATGATGTATTAACTGCGAGACAAGCCCAATGAATACTCGATCTACATCAACAGGCACCACTCGTGCATCTTTTCCAGAATTATCAACAGCCAAGATCAAAGATTTAGAAGAATCCATATCCGTCAGCATCAAGGAAATCATTACAATTCAGGAAGCGTAGATCAAGATATTGTAATCTGGAGTTTTCTAGGTCAGGGGGCTTGCGTTACATTTAAGACATTGTTAGTATTTTCTTTCTATAAATAAACTTTGCTAAGTAAAAATAAATCCGCAAGCCATATATTTTCATTCATAAATTCGACTATTTTGCAAATACGTGAAACTCTCTGTACATGTTATTCGACTTATGTATTAGGATACATGTAATACTTACGTCTTAAACTCTTACATGTTCGAAATACAGAACAAATTTGTACTAAAACATGTGAGAATTTATTAATACCCATTAACTTTGGTAATTCTGT